GCATGGGCTCCTCTCTTCACAGGTCCTGCCAGGAGCCTGCTCCAGCGCGGGCTTCCCACAGGGTCACAGCTTCCTTCAGGCATCCACCTGCTCTGGCGTGGGGTCCTCCACAGGTGGATATCTGCTCCACCGTGGACCTCCATGAGCTACAGGGGGACACCCTGCCTCTCCATGGGCTTCACCATGGGCTGCAGGGGAATCTCTGCTCTGGCGCCTGGAGCACCTCCTCCCCCTCCTTCACCGACCTTGGTGTCTGCAGGGTTGTTTCTCTCACACATTCTCACTCCTCTTTCCGGCTGCAGTTGCTGTTGTGCAGCAACTTTTTTCTCCCTTTCTTAAATATGTTATCCCAGAGGCGCTACCACCATTGCTGATGGGCTTGGCCTCGGCCAGCAGCGGGTCTGTCTTGGAGCTGGCTGGCATTGGCTCTGTCGGACACAAGGGAAGCTTCTAGCAGGCTCTAACAGAAGCCACCCCTGTAGCTCCCCTGCTACCAAAACCTTGCTACATAAACCTAATACACTAGGGTATGAGCCATGCAGCTGAATCGCATGTGGTCATGATCTTAAGGCTAAAACATTGAAAAGCGATCATATGATGCTTTCAAAATTGTCTGAGGACCACAGGCTTCCTTTGGAGGGAGAAGCAGGGGATGATGTTTTCTTTCACAAAAAAGCTAATAATTTTACTTCATTTCTGTTTCTAAGGCTTCTACGCTTGGGGATTGAGACTCAAGGAGAAGCATGAAGAGTGTGCTGGGGAACTGGGAGGGGGAAGAAAGAGAAGAAAGCTGCAGGAAAGTTTGTGTGGCCTTTGCATCACGCTCCCCCTTTTTCTTGACCTCCATTTGGGAAGGTCCCTTTCCCTCGTGGGTGTTGGAGGGCTGGCTGGTGGTACGGAGTGAGGCGAGCGAGCCAGGGGCTGCGGGTTGGGCTGGGCAATGCTCTGCTCATGTGGGTTCCTGTTAAAACAGAATTAAGCCCAACCAATTCCAGTTGTAAGTTGTATTCTCTGGGCAGATCTCCTTTTCCCCTCAGCAATCCTGGAAGTACCAGGCACAACCTGCATGCTCCAACTCAAGTCTCATGGCTCCAGTGAATTTAAATGGACTCTTTGTAGTGCCATGTTCTCATTTCTCTCTCATAGCATTTTGCATTTTCACCCGTCATCATAGTTGGAGTAGCTTTTTTGCAAAAAAGATCAGCATTAGTAAAGTCCAAAGGGGCTATAGGGAGTTATTTTCATATTTAATCCTAAACTCTTGCAACAGTGGCTTTTGGACAGTTCACATTGTTGCTGCTGGATCTCTTTTGTTCTGGCCTTTCACCGTTTTTACTGGCTAAGTCTGCAGGAGGATACTGACTATTAGGTTGTGCTTTTGCATTTTGCATTAAATATTGAAATTCTGAAGTCTTGCTCTGCCTCCAGCTTGTGGAGCTGTCCTGGCACCCTCCAGGAAAGGCTGGGGGACAATAAACAAACTGCCTGCAGAGATTGAAACAGTTCTGCTCACTGATGGCAAGAATTTTGATTTGATAAGTGTTTTGACCCTTTGAAGTATTTGTGCAGTTTCCCTGAGGATTTGCTGTTCCTTTCAGTTGAAAATTAGCTGCTGCTTTATATATGTTGGGGACATGAAGTGATTTTTTTAAAAAATGTTTTAAGTGTGCCTCTGAATTTCAGTAATTTAAAAAAAAAAATAGACCTTTAAGTATTTATATTTCCTCTGTGTTTCCCTCTCCTGGTACGTTCTGTACGTTTTAGAAGAGATACTGATCTCATACTTTCTGTTCCTATCTACAGAAGGACCAACAGTGGTCTACTGGAAAAATACTGAGTTGAGTTACCAGCAGCCCAGGTCAATCAGGCTCATATTTCCTGAGAATGAATGACAGTAGAATTACAAACACTGTATTTCAGAATCTGTGGCACTTGGTGTTCAGTAACAAAGTTTATAAAATAAACAGGAAATATCATAAAACAGTGATGGTCCTGCGTTAATACTCTTTTCCGATCCAGATCCTCACTTCAAATTTCACTTATTTACGTAATACTAGTTATAACACTAGTTATATAGAAATAAGTTCTAAAGTTCTATTAATATTTTACAGAAATTTTTAATAGGTTTTAAGTAGCATGAACAATATGATTTTAGATACAATGATTTGAGATAGATTAAAATAGTGCCCTGTAAACTGAAATTATTTTAGTACTGGTCTGGAACTTCAAACAAGTTTAAGTAGTGTGGCTTTTCCTTCCTTGCTGAAGCGTTAGAAGGAGTTTTTCAGCTGTCTGAACTGAAAACAGAAAAAGATACATTAAATAGTGCATAGATGCAACATAGGTGTTTCTTTCTACTTTTATGCATTGAGAGTAAAGAATGCAATTTTGTAGTTTTCAAAACATCTTAAGCAAGAAGAATCTTCCACTCATGGTAAAACACATTGCTGCATGCAGAAAACCTCTCGATAGCCATGCTTGGAAATTTTCCTGGTTAACAAAATGCGGTGCATCAGAATGTTCTGACATGTTGTGCTGATATCAGCAGACGTTGTGGTGGAGAGCAAGTAGGGACTTTATTATGTTTTCTGCCAAGTTTGGTTGATGACTTGCTGCAAGAACAGCTCAATGTTTCCACTTTGAGATTTATTGAGAAATTTAATAGAAAAAAAAATTGGGGTTTTGCCAGTTGCACCATAATATGGTAACTTTTCAAAACCTTGAAAAAGTATTTTCAAAAAATCACTTTTTTTTTCTGGTGAGCTTTATTTACCGGTAGTGGTTTATGTCATCTCTTTTATTCTGGGTGATTTGGAAACAAGCTATTTTCCAAATATTTTCCTCTAGAAGTCAGCAGTTAGGCAGGACTTGGGCCAGTGTGTCCCAGAGATGGTGCCTGTTCTTGGGTGAATAACCAGTCTGTAGGTGTAAGCTCTTCAGTCCGTAGATAAGAGATTTCCAGACTGCTGTCTGTAGTACTCACCTTGATCTCATTTTCTGTAATATTTGACGCTTTTATGTCACCATTTGGAAAAATTCTGACCCATGGTAGATTGAAGTGCAGACAGATGGGTTTTTCTCTTCACTTTTGTTTTCATCAAGTGTAAAAAGCACTCTAATCTTTGTAAGATTGCTTTTAAATAGAGTTATTCAGATCCCATAAAACTTGTGTTCTGTTTCTGTCGTACAAATATCAGATCAAAGTTGGATTGCGTGCGTCTTTGCAGTACCCCGATTTCATTATGTCATTGATTTTGTCTGAAGCTATGAAGATTAGAAACATTTTTCTCCTTTGGAGTTTTGGGCAATCATTTGCATCAGAGGACTTCCATGTGTCCCAACCTCTTGCACCTTTATTGGTCAGCCAGGGGACCCTCATCTGATCTCTTTCCTTTTGCTCCGCCAAGTTCTCCCTCCACTCAGCACTCAGATAAGCTTAGTCACTTCAATGCTTTATGGTCTGGGAAAAAGAAAATCTATAGCATACCTATGGGGAGTATTTGAAAGATGCTATGGTACTTCAGAAATGGGACAATGTAAGTCTGCCTATCAGTAGGTAATATTCTAGGTTTGTTTTTGGTGGCATTTGAGTGAGTTCCAGCAGTGCCTTCAGCTCAAGGCCAGGCAGCCAAAGGTGTTGCACGGTTTAAAGCTGTGACATTTAAGTAGAACATGAACATGCTCTTTATTTGTAGCCTTTACTCTGCTTTTAAAGTTTAATGACTTGTTTTTATTTTGTGTGTGTGGCAGAAATCTCAAAATAATGTGTTAATATAGCTAGTGGGGAAATTAATTTAATGGAGTCTTAACTTCATTATGTTGGTCAAACTTCAGTTATAGATACTTGACCTTTTGAAGAAGAAATTTTAATACAACTGAGGACTTCCACCATGATGAACTAAAGATGGGGTTTCTTGGGTTTTTGCCTTTTTTTTGTTTTTTCATAGTATGAGTTACATTTTAACTCAGGAAGAATACCCGATTTTCATGGTTGTGCAAGTGCTAGCTGATGACTGCAGTGGCTGCTTATGTGTAAAAGTAAAATTAAATTTTTATATATGTGTGTGTGTCTGTTTAATGCTGTTTACAACTGAAAATAAGGAAAACATTCCAGTACCTAATAACCGTATTTATATCTAACATCCATGCTAATAATATGCTGGTCTAATATGTCATTAGTCACCTAGATGCTCTGGAAAGTTGGGTAGCTTTTCTTTAATTTCAGGGGTTTTTCTGAATATCGCTGCTGGAAATTTCAAGGGGAAAAACCCCACCTTTTTGTAATGAAACTTTAGCAGACTTTTCATCCTGAATCTCAGCCAGCATTAGTTTTTAGTGAGGATTTAGCAATAAATGTGCTTTTCTCTATTCTCAGCACAAAACCTGAAATTAATTTTGCTGTGAAGTGTCTTTAGGTCTTAATTGAAACTGAAGTTACTCATCCTGGTAAGAGTGCCCAGACAGACAATGCCTACGTATTCTACTCTATTAAATTCTCAGATATTAAAAAGTATATACTGCATGCAGTACTTCTAACTTAAAGCCTATGCTGTATATATGCAGTATTTTAAGTTAATAAACACTTGCGCTGTAGAAGGAAGAGTTAGAATTGGAGAGTGTTGTGTTAAATACAGGGAAAACAGGTGAAGTACGAGAATGATTTCTCATACTCAGTGTTTTTTGTAATGTCTTTATACGTGATATCGTACAGTGAAACACTGGTGCAGTGATACGTGCGATGGAGCTATTCATGAGCTAAAAGACTGGCTTGTTGCAAGAAGCGATTTTACAAGCCTAGAGCAGTACTGGACCGCGGTAATTCAAGGTCCTGTGGTGAAGTCATGGAAGGCTGCCGAAGCATGGTTTCTTACGCAGCTATTAAGTACATTTTAAATTATCTTCTCTTGACAACAATGTATCTACTACCCGTTATATTTTATTAGCATTGCCTTATAGATGCTCATGGTTATTTTCTCTATTTCTCTTCCCTCCCATCTTAGTGGAATCGGTCGAAATTGGCCATGGGCCTCTGGCGGCAGCAGCATTTTGGCAGAATTTGGGACTTTGCATCTGGAGTTCGTACACTTGAGCCACCTGTCTGGAAACCCTGTCTTTGCTGAAAAGGTTAGACTGTTCAGTCAAAATCATGTTGTAAAAGATAAATCACGTGTTGGGAGACTAATATCTCTGGGGAGAGATTTGATTTTCCTCAGTTGTAAGCATTTGTCACAGAAGGTAGATATTTCCTAGGTGTTTCCCTAATCACCTTGGCATGGTTTTGTATTATAAATTCAAAAATCCATTCCAAAATCTTTGTGGTGCATCTTCTTGTATATAGCACTTACCCGGCCCCATAAAACATATAATTTCAGTTTATGTTCTAAATTAGTATCCCATTAAACAATCAGACCGTAGAGCTTTCTTCAGTACTTCACCTGAATGTGGTGAAAACAAAAATTGACATTATATTGGGGATAATATGTGATGCCTATAGAAGGCAAAGCACCATGGCTACCTTGTGTGATTTCAGCAAGTTTAGTCTTCAAAATGCTGTATAATATCACTGCTGTCAGTGGTCAGAAAGCCCTTCCATTGCACTGGCCTTTAAGAAATGTGCTTTGAACTTTCTTTGGGGGAAGAAAAAAAAGCCAAAAAAACATCCTTTGACAAAACAGTTGCTATGCTTACTAATTCTTCCAAAATTTGATAACATTGTCTTCTGGATACTTTTCATTTACATGAGCCATGGAAAGCAACTCCTTCTCCTTCCCTCAATTCCCACCTAAGCAATTTTGCTTTGTTTTTTGGTGTGTAAATAGTCAGCAGTTCCTGGGTTTTTTTTAATACACTGTATCATTTATCATCTTTTTTATTTTTTTCCTAATTAAAACTTACACTTGTTTTGGTTTTGCATTCTTACTGTAACTGCCCCATGTTAACTAAAACTGATATTATCTATCTAATAATCTAATTAATAATAAGACTCCAAAAGTTTAGCAGTAGGTTTAAAAGCAATGGTCAAATCTAAAATGAACACTAGTTGACCAAACTTAAAGGACTGAATGACTTTGCTGCAATACCATTGTCAGCACTGGAATAAATTTTGTGAAACAAACTCCTAGCAATTTTAAAGTATTTAGAGATGGATTTAAAGACAGTGTTTCTCTTAAACAAATCTGAACTTGGGGGGAGGGATGGGGGGAGTGGGAGCACCCAGGAACAGCCAGAAACCAACTTACTAGATAATTATCTTTTGACATTTATGGTATAACATCTGTTCTACTAAGAGACAATTAAAGTGTGATGAAAGTGCGTATGTTAAAAATCCTAGCCTGTGGTTCTCTTCCAAAGTGGCATCGAGCTATAGCTGCAAGATGCTGGAAATCTGTTTCTGTATGCTGCTCTTAAAACCCTTTAGAGATTGCTATTCCACAGCCCTCTGAGGCAAGCCGTTCCCAGGCTGGTACGCTTGATAAAGAAGAAGAAACACTAGAATAAGCTTTGCATGGAAGTATTCATAGAAGAATTCATTAAATGAGGTCTAGGACTCGTTGCAGTCTGCATTTGGGCAATGACTGTTAGCAATGTAGTGTCAAGATGCAGAAGGCAGTTTGTGTGCCACAACAGAAATCCTTCTGCAGCTTAGTGTAAGCTAATTTATCTTCTTTCTCAGCAGCTAGTTCACTTGATCTCTAGGCATTCAGGGTGTTATAATGAAGCTGTCAGTACCTTTTTGTTACGATTCCTGGTCTGTGGTGCTCAGGATCTTCTTTCTCCCAAGTTGCTACATTTTCTGTGAATGTTAAAATTCAGTATAAATTATTTCATGTGCTCTGCAATGGCTTGTGCTGCTGGATGACTCCAGCTGCGGAGCATCTGGACTGTAATTGTTTCCCCAGGCTTCTCATTTGTAGTGGGCTCCTTAACAGTGCCGGCGGAGCGCTCAGGGCTGCATGGGTTCCAGTTGGGCAAGCTGGTTGTATGAAGCTCAGTTCCAGCAGTGCTCTCCTTTCCAGGCAAAACTGCTTTACAATTCACTTCTGCATCTGAACTAGGTGATAGACTTAATATTTAGTACCATTTCTGATTTGGGTATATGAGGAATATAATGCTGAAGTAGCTGAGCTTAGTTAAGGCAACTAGCCTCAGTGAATTTCAGTATCCTGTGGAGGGCGAGATACTCGATATGGCAAGTCCTGAACTTCGGAGCTTGCTTCTGTTGTGTTGTTTCATCACCGACACTTGACACAGAAACTCCAGAGGTTTTGAGGAGCTCATTTACGTGATGATATCAGCTTAGAGGATCTTTTTCAATAGTAATACGATTGCACAGAGGTATTCACGTATTTGTGTGTAGAATAAGACTATTTTTTTATTTTTAGGGATATTTGCACATTAAGACTTTTGTACTGACACTGTTTTATTTTGGGGGGAAAAATGGATCAGTGCTCAGTGTTTTGTACCCTTCCAATAGGTAATGAATATTCGAAAAGTTCTAAATCGACTGGATAAACCAGAGGGTCTTTACCCCAACTATCTGAATCCCAGCAGTGGCCAGTGGGGCCAGCGTAAGTAGATCACTTCTTTGGTACTATGACCTGTCTATCAGTGTGCCGTTTGCCGTCGTTGACATCTTTCAATCACTGTTATGTGTTTTTTGTATATATGCAAAAGGGAAGGTTTTGCCAGGGGAGATTTAGATTAGATATTCGGAAAAATGTCTTCACGGAGAGAGTGGTTGGGCATTGGAACAGACTGCCCAGGGAAGCGGTGCAATCGCAGTCCCTGGAAGTGTTCAAAACACGTGTGGATGTGGTGCTTAGGGACATGGTTTAGAGGTGGACCTGGCAGTTAGGTTAACGGTTGGACTCGATGATCTCAGAGGTCCTTTCCAACCTTAATGATTCCATGATTCTATAAAGAACTTTTATGAAGTATAAAACCTCACATTATAGCTGAGGTTCTATACAGTGTAAAAAAATACTACAAATATAAAAATAATAATCCTACTTGCTGTATTTTAATGTACTTTTCTTTGATCTTTCAGTATGGCTTGTGCAAGCAGGGAAATGTCTGAATATGTATCATTTTAGAAAGGAATTTGTAGACTACAAAAGTCTTTTATTCAAAAATCTAAAATGCTCTCTAAAGTAGCTGTTTAAGGAAATATTATCAGCTTGTCTGAATCAAATTCCATGTTTTTAGAGTGGTGTGGCTCCAATGAAGATAAAATAAAACAAGTCTTTCCAGTTAGTACCAGCTGTGATTTCTATTGACGTTTAATGCCAACAACTGAGGAAACAAACTAAACAGAACTGTGTCATGGCATTAATCCCCTTGGAACCATTATTGGAGGCACCAAAATTAGAAGGGAAA